CTTTGTTAACATTACCAAAGTACCTGGGTCTGGCTTTTGTCCATGCGTTGGTATACACATCCGAACAAATCCAATCGACGGTGAAGGTTGGGCCGGATATATTCGGACTGCCCATCTCCCGAAAATTTCCTGGATTTTTCGAGCCGTCTGCATTCGATCCCGGATCCTTCAGAGCGATATACCGCTCGGCCACCCATCCGAAGTTATAAACTTTAGGCCTGTAACTTTTTAACTAAAATTGTCCTAAATATCTTTGGACTTAGATATGCATCTACTGTACTCAGCATTTCGATCGATTTTACTTTCCGGCTGTTATAATCTATAACAAGGAAAGTATTGGCGATCGGTCAAAAAATGACCAAGATTTTTACATTTTTGGATTCTGGATCTAAAAAAGTTTGGGCACTTTTTTGTATGTAGAGGAGTACGATTTCATTCATCCACTTTGAAGCTTAATAACTCCTATACCTTTTGTCGAATATTTCTGAAATTTTGCAGAGAAGTTTATGTATTAGGATGCTAGTAAATTTTGTTTGGTAAGGGTCAAGAGGGTGGGGAGGTATGACACTCGAATCCTCTCTATCTTAAGTGGAGACGGATTATTCGTTATTGGCATTTACAATATTTTATGAAACTCGCCTCTACCCTAAAAATTAAGCATCTTGCCATTTTATAATAATAGTATAAAAAGTTTTAAAATAAATCTCTAAACAGATGGCGCCACGCGCAATTTTAAAGTTTGGCCGGGAAAGTTACGTAACTCGTCGCTGGATTTGTTTTAGTTTGATAAATAACAATTAAACAAATGAACATATTTTAAAAATCAATAGACAACAACTACTATTATGTTAAAAGAAAGTTAAACAGTCGCTATCTGTACGATAAAAGTTTATTAGTTTACTTTCTATTTAGTCAAATAAATTTAAATAAGCTTGACGTAAATTCAAGTTGCAATTTTACTGTGAAATATAATTTATGAATCATAGATAAACGTGAATCATTTGTATACACATTTTATGAAGTACAGTACATTCTTGTTGTAGTCAAATATTTTCTATTTACAGGATGTCATTAAAAAAGTTTGTTTTAAAGTTATTATTACTAGATTTTTCCTGTTGACTCTCTCCCGTCCTTTCGAGTCATCGTTTCGGTTAAGCGAAACTGGTCGACACACGCCTCTAAATAGCGATACCCCGAATACTCGTGAATTGCCGAATACACGATTTCACATTGCAAACAACGTTACCCCCGTACCAACTATCAAGTGACACTCAAACTCGAACACTGTGTTCAAACCTCGTTACTAGGGTTTTTCGAATGTGATCCCGGTTGTTTTTTTAACCCAGGAAATCCCGCAAATTTCTTAAAAAGTTCACTTTTTTCTTATTTTGTGTTAAGGTTGAGGTAATTTTGTAAATAGAAAGTATAATTAACTCAAACTGTCAGAATACAGCTGTCCCTTGATAATCCGACAGGTACGGGACCAAAGGGGTGTCGGATTACCAAACGTGTCCAATTACTGAAAGTGATTACATATTTGGCATTTTTTTGTTAGCAGTAGTCTACAATATTTCCTACTCCAACTGTTCGAACTGAACTGCTCACGGAAAACACACGAAATGTGTGTCATCGTGTAAGAATTGAGTGGAGAGATTCACCTCGCGACATACTTCTGTGCAAACAGGCACGTAACGGGGACGGGTACCTTGACGGGAGGTGTGCCGGACTACTGAGCATGTCGGATTAAAAAACGTCGGACTATCAAGGGACAGCTGTACATTTGTATTTATTAACTTTAAACCTACTTATTAGTTTTTTAAATTTTTGCTCGTTATGGCATGTCACAAATGGTCAATAATCAATATGTAGCTTATTTGTGGCAGGACTCCGAAAATTCGAAACTTGTCGGAACCTGTAATATCTGGAATAATTGTGCTTCTTAAGTTTTAACTATGTCCAGTATTGGACAAGTATATAAACGAGCAAGAAGTCTGCAAGTATGAAGTTTTTCTTCATAAACCTGATTATTAAAAAGGTAAACGAACTGTCGAATTATTGGGCTATAGATTGGGCTATTGGGCTAGAAGATTTCTAGTTCGAAAACGAACTAGAAATCTTCTAGGCTACGGGTGAAAAAACACATATCTGTCTTCTCTTAAATGCTTTACACACGATTCCACTCAACAAAATTGAATCGAAAAGAGCATTCTCGGCAGGACTTTTCATTACTAAAATAAGAAATCAGATTGAGTGATCGGAATATTGACCATTTTTGCTTTTTAAAATCTTAATACAAAATATTATTGTAAATTTTTATAATATACTTTATTTAAAAAATGAAAATACCTTCTAAGTTAGAAGTTTGATCTAAGTTCATTTTTTTTTTATTTTCAACTCAATTCAAAGCATTTCTTTGTTGTTGTTGTATGCAGTTTCCAGCAAACTTTAAT